TTGCGCTGTAGGTGTCAGAGGGTTGTGGCGGTGTTATATGGTGTTGTTGGGTGCTGTAGGGTGTTAGGGTTTGTGGCGCAGGTTATATGGTGTTGTTGGGTGCTATAGGGTGTTGTAGGTGTTGTGGGTGTATATGGTGTTGTTGGGTGCTAGTGTTGTGGCGGTGTTATATGGTGTTGTTGGGTGCTGTAGGGTGTTAGGGGCGTTGTTGGGTGCCAGGGTGTTGTGGCGGTGTTATCTGCGTTGTTGGGTGCTGTAGGGTGTTGGGCGGTTATATGGTGTTGTTGGAGGTTGCTATAGGGTGTTGTAGGGTGTTGTGGCGGTGCTATCTGGTGCTGTTGGGCGCCGTAGGGGTTGTGGCGGTGTTGTGGGGGTGTTGGTGGCGGTGTTATATGGGTGGTTGCATGGGTGTTGGTGGCGGTGTTGTGGCGGTAGTTATATGGTGTTGTTGGGTGTCGTTGATGCTGTAGGGCGTTGTAGGGTGTTGGCGGTGTTATATGGTGCTGTTGGGTGGCGCTGGTAGGTGTCAGGCAGGGGGTTGTGGCGGTGTTATATGGTGTTGCTGGGGGTTGTTGGGTGCTAGGTGTTGTAGGCGTTGTGGCGGTGTTATTGGTGTTGTTGGGCTGTAGGGGCAGCTTGTGGCGGTGTTATATAGCGTTGCTGGGTTGTTGCCAGGGTGTTGTGGGGTTGTTGGGTGTTGGAGGGCGAGGGGTGTTTGCAGGTGCAGGGGTGCAGGGTGTTGTTGGGTGTTGTTGCGTTGTAGGGTGCTGTGGGGTGTTGTTGTAGGGTGTTGTTGGGCGTTGGTTGGGTGTAGGGTGTTAGGCGGTGTTATATGGTGTTGTTGGGCGCTGTAGGGTGTTGGCGGTGATATGGCGTTGTTGGGTGCTGTAGGTGTTGTGGGGTTTAGGTGGCTGTTGGGTGTTGTTGGGTGTTGGCGGTTATATGGTGTTGTTGGGTGCTGTAGGGTGTAGGGGTACAGGGGTTGTTGGGTGCTGTAGGGTGTTGTGGGGTGTTGTAGGGATTTGTTGGGGTGTTGTTGGGTGTTGTTGGGTGTTGTGGCGGTTGTTATATGGTGTTGTTGGGTGCTTGTAGGGGGGTGTTGTGCCGGTGTTATATGGGTTGTTGGGTGCTGTTGGGTTGTAGGGTGTCAGGGGTGTTGCTGGGTGTTAGGGGTGTTGTGGCGGTGTTATAGGCTGTAGTGTGTTGTGGGGTGTTGTAGTGTGTTGGGGCGCCAGGAGTGTGAGGGGTGCTGTTGGGCTGTAGGCGGTTGTAGGGTGTTGTAGGGTGTGTGGCGGTGTTATATGGTGTTGTAGGGTGTTGTGGGTGTTGTAGTGTTAGGGGTGTTGTAGGGTGTTAGGGGGTTTGCTGCGTCATAGGGTGTTGTTGGGTGCTGTAGGGTGTGGTAGGGTGTTGTAGGGTGTTGGGGGTGTTGTTGGTGTTGTGGCGGTGTTATAGGGTGTTGTGGTGCGTGTTGTGGAGTGTCAGGGGTTGCTGGGTTGTTGTGTTGTAGGGTGTTGTTGGGCGCTGTAGGGTGTTAGGGGTTGTAGGGTGTTGTAGGGTGTTAGGTGGTGTGGCGGTGTTATCGGTGTTGTAGGGTGTTGTAGGATGTTGGGGGTGTTATAGGTGTTGTGGGGTGCTAGAGAGTGTGTCAGGCGCTAGAGGGTGTTGGTAGGGTGTTGTGGCGGTGTTATATGGTGTTGGTGGGTGTTAGGATGTTGGGGGCAGGTAGAGGGTGTTGTGTGCGTTGCAGTGTGTTGTTGGGTCAGAGGGGGTGTGGGGTGTTGTAGGGTTGTGGGGCGTTGTAGGTGTTGTTGGGCGCTATAGGGTGTTGTTGGGTGCTGTTGGGGCTGTAGGGTGTTGGGCGTGTTGTAGTGTGTTGTTGGGTGCTAGAGGGTGTTAGGGGTGTTGTAGGGTGTTGCAGGGTGTTGTTGGGTGCTGTAGGGGTTGTTGGGTGCTGTTGGGTGCTGTAGGGTGTTGTGGGGTGTTGCAGTGTGTTGTTGGGTGCTGGAGGGTGTTGGGGTGTTGGGGTGTTGTTGGCTGGTAGGGTGTTGTTGGGTGCTGTTGGGGCTGTAGGGTGTTGGGGGCGGGTTGTAGTGTGTTGTTGGGTGCTGTAGGGTGTTGGGGGGTGTTGTAGGGTGTTGTAGGGGGTTGTTGGGTGCTGTAGGGTGTTGTTGGGTGCTGTTGGGTGCTGTAGGGGTTGTGGGTCAGTGTTGTTGCGCTGTAGGGTGTTGTGGGGTGTTGTAGGGTGCTGTTGGGCAGGGTGTTGTTGCGTTGTTGGGCCAGGGGTTGTGGGGTTGTTGTGGGGTAGGTGTTGTTGGGTGCTGTTGCGCCGGTAGGACCTGTGGGTGTTGTGGGGAGCTAGGGGGTTGTAGGGGTTGTTGGGTGCTGCAGGGTGTTGTTGGGGGTTAGGGTGTTGTTGGATGCTGTAGGGTGTTAGGGGTTGTAGGGTGTTGTTGGGGCAGGGTGTTGTTGGCGAGGGTGTTTGGGTGATGTTGGGCTGTAGGGTATAGGGTGTTGGGGGTGCTGTAGGGTGTTGTTGGGCTGCAGGGTGTTGTTGGTGTTGTAGGGTGTTGTTGATGCTGTAGGGTGTTGGGGGTGTTGTAGGGTGTTGTTGGGTGCTGTAGGGTGTTGTTGGGTTGTAGGGTGTTGTGGCGGTGTTGTAGGGTGTTGGGGGTGTTGTATGTGTTGTTGGGTGCTGTAGGCGTTAGGGGGGTTGTAGGGGTTGTGGGGTGAGTGTGTGTGTTGGGCTGTAGGGTGTCAGGGGGTGTTGTAGGGTGTTGGGCGGTGTTGTTGGCTGCAGGGTGTGGGGTGTTGTAGGGTGTTGTAGGGTGTTGGCGGTGTTATTGTTGTTGGGTGCTGTAGGGTGTCAGGCGGTGTTATATGGTGTTGTTGGGTGTTGTTGGGTGTTGTAGGGGTGTGGGTGTAGGGGTGTTGGGGGTGTTAGGGGTGTTGTAGTGTGTTGTTGGGTGCTGTAGGGTGTAGGGTGTTATAGGGTTGTGGGGGTGTCAGTGTGTTTGTTAGGTGCTGTAGGGTGTTAGGGGTGTTGTGGGGTGTTGTAGGGGTTGTGGCGGTGTTGTTGATTGTAGGGTGTGGGTGCTGGGTGGGGCGAGGGTGTGGTGCTGTAGGGTGTTGGGGTGTTGTGGGGTGTTGTGGGGGGAGTGTGTTGGTTGCGTGTAGGGTGTTGGGGTGTGTAGGGTGTTGTGGGGGTGTAGGGGTGTGGGGGGGTAGGGTGTTGTTGGGTGCTGTAGGGTGTTGGGTGTTGTAGGGTGTTGTAGGGTGTGTGCGCTGTAGGGTGTCAGGGGTGTTGTAGGGTTGTGGCGGTGTTGTTGATGCTGTAGGGCGCGGGGTGCTTTAGGGTTGTTGGGTGCTGTAGGGTGTTGTGGGTGTTGTAGGGTGTTGTTGGGTGCTGTAGGGTGTTGTGGCGGTGTTGTAGGTGTGGCGGTGTTGTTGATGCTGTAGGTGTCAGGGGTGTTGTAGGGTGTTGTGGGGGTTAGTGTGTTGTTGGGCTGTAGGGTGATGTGGGGTGTTGTAGTGTCGGATGTTGTAGTGTGTTGTTGGGTGCCAGGGTTGTGGGGTAAGGGTGTTGTGGGGTGTTGTGGCGGTGTTATATGGTGTTGTTGGGCCAGTAGTGATGTGGCGGTGTTGTTGCTGCAGGGTGTTGTGGCGGTGTTGTGGCGGTGTTATATGGTGTTGTGCGTGCAGGGTGTGGCTGTGTTGTAGGGTGTTGTAGGGGTTGTGGCGTTATATGATGTTGTTGGGGGCTGTTGTAGGCGTTGCGGTTATAGGTGTTGTAGGGGTTGTAGGGGTTGTAGGGTGTTGGCGGTGTTATAGGGGTTCTTGGGTCTGGGCATAAGTAAAAGAGAGAGAGAGAGGAGAGAGAGAGAGAGAGAGAGAGAGAGATATTAGCACTGTTCAGCCAGATGAGTGAGCATGAATTGCACAACCTTGCACATGAAGCTGGCTGGCTGGCTTGTAGTTCATCCCTCCCCTCCCACCCCCAGTCCCTCCCTTCCTCCCTCACCTCCCCACTTCTCCCTCCACCTACTTAAGATAACATAAACTAATTTCTTCAGACATGTCGACTTAAAGACACACACACACACACACACACACACACACACACACACACACGCAACGCAAACATACTACACACACATATAATAATATAATTGTCTCGTGTTCAAGAATGGCCGGCCCACACATCATATCACCATACCAGACCACCATACACCACAACCACACCATACCACCACACCACCAACACAACACACACCAATCACCACCACACTACACCCACACACACCATCCATACTACACCACCATACCCACCACACCACCACACCACCAACACAACACAAACCAATCACCACCACACTACACCACACACACCATCCACACTACACCATCACCACACCACACCACCACACACCATACCACCACACCACCACCGTCCTTCATAACCAATCCAAAAAAGCGTGTTCTGAGGCGGCCTTGATAATCACACACTCATGTATAGAAACGCGTCCGTCCGTCCGTCCGTCCGTCCGTCCGTCCATCCGTCCGTCCGTCCCAACAAACTCGTACCAATATCAAAGAGTTTAGCTCAAAATTACCTCAAACGGTTTAATTAAAGACTTGTAACCTTTTTTTTTAAGTCACAACCTGGATATAATTACCTTTTACGGGTTAATTAAGATAATCGTGCTCAACTTTAAAATGAAGAGGGAAAAAAATTACCTTAAATTATCATTTGATCTCTTGAGTACGATATCTTAATCTCTTGAGTACGATATCTTAATCTTGAGTACGATATCTTAAACCTTTGAGTATGATATGTTAATCTGTTGAGTACGATGACTTAACCCCTTTAGTGCGATATGTTAACCCTTTAGTGCGATATGTTAACCCCTTGAGTACATCTGTCCTCAAGGTGAAGAATAAAAGGAAGATGACTCGGTAGAGGTGACGATGGAGGAGAAGGAGGATGAAGAGGTGAAGAGGAGGAGGGGAGGAAGAAGGAGGAGGGTGAAGACGAAGTGAGGAAGGAGGAGGAGGAGGAGGGAACAAAACAACGCAGAACAGACCATCACACACATTCCTCACCTTCCTTACATCACCAAATTAAAAAGTTTACACGAATCTACAATCATTTACTCTGAGCACACGGGTTCGATCTTCCCATACGCAAGACGGGGGATGGGGTCTGTATTCAATCGTTTAGGTCGAGTTCTACTGGGTTCGAATCCTTGTTGTTTTGAGGTACTGCACGTGACTCACCAATAAGACCTGGGTTCGAGGTGGTTCACGTATAAGCAGTGCAAAATTACGTGTGTGTGTGTGTGTGTGTATGTGTGTGTGTGTGTGTGTGTTTACCCCCAAAAAGGTTAATTTCCCGCTATAATGTAATCATGCAGTGCAACAGTAAGACAAAGTACACTAATCTATTTACAGTTCTGGTCTATCAACTCACCTGTCTACCTTACTACTCACTCCATTCAGCTTTATTACTTCAGTATATACAAGAGAGTCGCCTATATGAGTACCTCACACACACACACACACACACACACACCGACCTCATCTGCAATTTGGTAAGAAGTTTACCATCCCCGACACCGGCCCTACTACCACCTGAGATCCCTGTCCGAGAATTGCTGTTCGACACCACAACCGCATCCAGCCCATACGTGCACGAACTGATCGCTAAGAACAGCCCAGTCCCAACCATTGTAAAATTATCAATAACATGTAATAAATCAGTGTATTCACTCCCAGTAAACACTGTCTACACTGTCACTATGTTGAAATGAACTGTATTTTCAGCTGATCCCCATCTAAGTTACTACATGTCTTATATGTGTCACTTATGTCACTTGTATATTATTTGTAATTCGTAACCCATTCCCAAATATGTAACTGTATATTTTCAGCCTTCTGCCAAGCTCTTCAATAAACCGTTAATTATTATATATTATTATTATACACACACACACACACACACACACACACACACACACACACACACACACACACACACACACACACACACACACACACACACACACACACACACCACAGAATTGGGTACACTTGTTCTCCCTACCACGCACGGGCTTACACCCTCCCTGTGGTTAAATAATAAATCATTCTTTTTGTTGCATCATCACTACTGAGAGAAGAGCAGTAGTTACCGCCACAGGTGAGAAGGTTAACAGAGAACACACCTGGGCTGGCCATCACCTGTGTCACGCTCACCAGGTAAACATCTCCTCACATGACTCCACCCAGGCGACCCAACCCTCAGTATCTGTGTTGGGTTTAGTGCTACGTATCGCTGTTTGGTATCCATATGCGCATTGTGCCTCGCGCGCAGTATAGCGGCGCTGGTGACTGCCTCGTGGCGCAAACAGACCCACCACCTAACGCCCGGGACAGTCTCCTTTAACGACGCCAGCCGTGCCCGCACCTCCCACTGCTTCAGGTACCTCCTGCGTACCCCTCCCCAACCTGCCTCACTCTTACTCTACCTCCTTCCCCTACCCCACCTCCCCACCCCTACTCTTCCTCCTTCCCCCACCCCACCTCCCCACCCTACTCTCTCACCTGCCTCACCCCACTCTCTTCCTCCTCCTTCCCCACCCCACCTCCCTCACTGCTACTCTACCTCCTCACCCCACCCTCCCCTACTCTACCTCCTTCCCCCCCACCTCCCTCACCCCACTCTCTCACCTGCTCCCACTCCTACTCTTCCTCCTCCTTCCCCACCCCACCTCCCCACCCCACTCCCCACCTCCTTCCCCACCACCTCCCCCACCCCACTCTACCTCCTTCCCCACCCCACCTCCCCACCCCTACTCTACCTCCTCCTCCCCACCCCACCCCACCCCACTCTCCACCTTCCCCACCCCTACTCCCACCTCCTCCCCACCCCACCTCCCCCACCCCTACTCTCACCTCCTCACCCCACTCTACCTCCTCCCCACCCCACCTCCCCACTCCTACTCTCACCTGCCTTACTACATCCTCCTCCTCCCAGTTTCCTCTCCTGTTACCCTGCCGTTGTTGCCACCATTACTCTTACACTGCTGCTCTAAATCGTTACCACACTCCATCACAGGTAGCCCCCCACACACACCTGTACCCACTCAACACCGCATAATTCCATCAACTCATATTATTCTGAAGCTTCCCACCCAGCCACCTTCCCTCCCTCTCGTCATGCACACAGCACCTCTCCCCGCCCGAGTGGTTCATCGTGGCCACCTCTGATACAGTCGTGTGGCTACTAATTTATCAATGGAGCCACCCTGGGTACACACGCCACAACACCTCCACTAAAATTCATGACAACAAATTTCAAAGTCGAGCGCCTTCATTGTCCCCGGAACACGTGAGGCTTTTGTCTGTGTGCGTGGTTTGAATGAAGGTAATTTTACATTTTCTGGTTCTCTCCTTCGTCGTTATAAGTAAAATGTATCACAGCCACCGTGGAGGACGACG